CGAAACATTATTACAAAAATTAAGTGTAATTGAGATTCTGCATTACCACCGAGACGGGAGAAGGTGATATCGATTGGAAGATTTCGAACATCGTCTTGTGTCATTTTTTTTCCCCCAGGAAAAAATTCACGCTTTCTCGAGAAAATCTCTCACAAGTCTTTCTTTCTGTTTTGAGGTTTTTGAGTGTCGGGGTTGAGTTTGCTGAGGAAACGCATTCACAGGTGCCGAATCCGGTTTTGGAGCTTACCGGACCAATTTACTCCGGTCCGCATCAAAATTAAAATTACTTTTTGGTTTTCATGGGTTGGTTGGTTTATTGATTAATAAAATTTTGTTTGTTTGAATGTTTAACAAGTTAAAACTATTTTTCTGAAAGGAAAAAATGTGTTTTTTTTTTAATGTTTAACAAGTTAAAAGTATTTTTCTCAAAGAAAAAACTGTGCATGATAAGATATAGACATTTAACATCAATATTGTTGATTAGTTAAGCATTTTCTCAAACCAATAAGCTTAAACCAAAACAAACCTAGACCATAGTGCCAATCCACAGAAAATTTCAATGGAACAGTTAATGGATTGATATACAAACAAAAATTCAATCAAATTTATTGACAAGCGGAATTTATCATATATATGACTGAACTTGGTCCATATATATAGATTTCAATGGATCGTTAAAATATCAAATTGATTTTCTTACAATATCTGATAGGTTAATATGTATAGTTGAATATAGTAGGAGAATAAAATAATAAATAATTTAGAAAACAAACAAAAAATATTTATGCAAGTTTGTTATCAACAATTTTTCTACATAGAGAGAGAGAGAAATGGAAAAGGACATGTTCTTGACCGCTTTATCAGAATATTTTTCTTGGGTTTATACAAAAAAAAAACAAAGTCGTCTTCTAATATTTTAAGGTAGAAGTACTTTTACAAAAAATTATAATAACAAAAAGAAAAAATATCACAAAACAAAGGAGTTTGTCTTTGGCTTCTTCTCTCTAATCTCCATTTTTCTTTCTCCAATATCCTTGAGCTTTTGATAAAACCTCTCCACTTCAATATATATAAACCGAC